GCTCCCACCCCTGGGCCCGGGCCCCCAGGGAGGGGCGTGCACTCACCAGTTGATCTCGGGGGAGGACTCGTTGAAGGTGTAGTTCCGCTTCGGGCAGCCCCAGCTGTGGAGACAGAGCGGCCCCTGCACTGCCCCCGGACCTGCCCAGGGCCCCGGGGGCTCATGGAGCGTGGGGCACCCTCTCCCCACCCAGGGCCACACCCCTGCATCTCGGAAGGGCAGGCAAAGCTAGGAGGACACCCCACCCCGGGGATGAGAGAGGGGAGCCTATAGATAACCGGTCTCAGCAGGCTGCTGGGATGGGCTGTGTGGGGGCACAGGCGGCCCAGGGGGAGGGGGGACTCCTGGGGGGGACTCCCGGGGCTTCAGGAGGCAGAGGCCACAGACAGGGCCAGGCGGCGTCCACGAGATGAGAAGCAGCTCGGCCCACACGCTGACTCCAGGAGGCTCACCCCATGTCCCTCCCGACGACCCTCCCCACCTGATGCCCACTCGGTGAGAAGGGGCAGGAGCGCGCAGACACGCCCCTTCGGCCCCCGCCCGTCCCCCCCTCCACACGTCCTCCCGCCCTCACCGGCCGCCCGGCCCCGGGCCAGGTGCTGCCCAGGACAACAGACCCGGTGTGAGCCCCCGTTTTCCTCCTAAAACCACATGGTGGGGTCTGCCCTGCCCACGGGTGAAGACGGGAAGGCCTTCCCGGCTCAGCCGCAGGAGCCCAGGGCCCGGCCGGACCCGCCAGGGAAGAGGCAGGAAGAACCTGTTGAGCGTCGACCTGTGAACCAGGAGGTCAGGGTTTGAGTGGAACCCGAGGGCAGCGCCCAGGGCACTCCTGGGGCTTGGACACTGGGAGGGTCACATGGGGAAGGAAGGACTCTCCAAGGCCCTGGACAGAGGGCGTCCAGGGGCCGGCTGGGTGCTGGTCACACCTCCAGCCAAGCCCATCGCCTCTGCCATGGCAGCAGGTCCGGCAGAGGCTCGGCCCATCCCTGCAGCCCCCAGCCCCACGGCCACCCACCATCCGATGCCCAGGGCCGGGTCATCGAGCAGGACTCGGACGATGTAGAGGAGACACGTGAGCAGCTTCAGGGAGAAGTTGAACAGCCGGATCCTCAGGCCTGCGGGGGCGGGCGGTAACAGGCTCACTCCCCAGCAGGGGGCGAGCAGGAGGCCGCCGATCCCGGATTCTCTCTCATCACTGATGTTTCTTTCTCTCTCTCCCCCTCTGCCCTCCTCTCTGAGTGGCTGCCCACCCAGAGGACTGTGATGACCAGGCCACACGCCGACTGTGGGGCCGCAGCCTTGGGTGCCCGCCCCCGGCAGAGGGCACGGAGGGGCGGGACATTGGAGGAAACACACCGCACGGGGGCGGGACAAGCAGGGCCTGAGCCGCCGAGGAAAAGGTGGGAGAAGGGGTGGCCGGCGGGCCCTCGGCGTCCACAGCAAGAACTGACGCCCGGACAGAAGGACAGTGGCCACGGGAGCCACAAGTGAAGAGCGAAGCCACAGCCGGAAATGGGAGCGAGGACCAGAACGCACAGGTCACCCCAGGATCCCCACCCGGGGTTCAGGGAGTCCAGAGCGCCAGGGGCGGGGAGCTGGCCGGCAGAGACTTCACTGAAGACATCCTGGCCCTGCGTGGACCCCGTGGGTGTCCCCGGGACCACGGAGGCCACGAGAGGGGCAGAAGGGACCCACCAGCACCCGGGGGAGAAACCGCTCCCACCAGGAACCGCGTGGAAGCCCTTGAGCGCTGCAGCCGCCCCAGCAGCTGGGAGACGCCGCAGCGAGGGAAGGAGGCCCAGTCCCCTGCAGCTGGGCCGCGAACCCTGACCCCTGACCTTGGGCCTGGGCTCAGCCGTGCAAACGAAGGAGCGACTGAAGAGAGGAGCCCTTGGCCCAGGCGGGACCGGGCAGGGAGCAGAGCCAGGCTGAGGCCTGCACCTC